ATTTTCTTCATGGTTAGTTTTCTAAAATATAATTACCTATTTCACAGTTATAATTTTATATTAAAGTATTATTTTTAAAAGAGTTTTATAGTCCATGCACATTAGATTTGGGTTTATGTCTAAAGATGTTGTGATAACCGTATGGTTATGTTAATTGCAAGGTGTATTTGTGATTGAACTTTGAAAGTGCAAAGTGTTGATTGATATTCGGAATTAAGGTACGTTATGTGGTTTGATACCTTCGAAAGTTAACTATGAAATTATGTTTTAATATAGTTCTTATGAAATTGTGTGCCGTATGAAATTATGTTTTACTATATGAAAATTGTGTTTTATGATAGCTTGAAATTTATGATTTTGGTTAATCAAAGAGGCTTTGAATTGCAATTAAAATTACAAAAAAAGGATTGGATTAAAATTGATTTACAGGTTTCTTAATATTCAAGAATAACGGATTTTTTTTAAAGGTGCTTTTAATCAATCAATCGATATGGTTATGAATCCCACTTAGGGAATGGATTAGAGAAGGCTATGGACTTTGCATGACCTAGCCTTTCCTCAAGATTGGCCTTTGTTCATAAAGTAAACCACTTGGGGGGTGTGCACACTTAGTGAGGAATTGGTTTTGGAACGTAATCGATTGAGTTTTTAAATTTGTCTTGAAAGAATTGAATTGGAAAAACTCTTACTTGAGTACGGCATTGGAATTCTTATGAATTAAATATAAATGATTTAAATTATTTTTTACTTATCTTACACATAATCTACTTAGCATAATTTGCTAATACGTGCTTTTGTTTTGACTTTGCCCTGTTTACCATTTATGGTAAGCAGGTGAATGTTTCAGGTGGAAGTTGATTGATGCATACGGGAGTCCACGGGAATTTCACCTAGCTTAGGAAAAGTTGGAGTCGTTTTTGTGTCATAAATTATGAACAAGTTTTTTTTAAAGTTTTATTAATAAGAATAAAGAATTTCCGCTGCAAAAGTATTTTAAAGTATAAGCCTTGCGTTATCACGCGGCGGTAATACGCCCCAGTCTATCTCTACGGTATTTATACGTATTTTCTACATATTCCGTAGAGGGAGATTTGGGGGTGTTACAATAGATATCTATGACTTGAAATTATTTTTATTGAACTTAAATTATTTCCACTGAACTTAAAGTATTTTTACCAAACTAAAATTATTTTTACTGATTAAAACTTATTTTTACTGATTCTCTAATATTTTTTTTAAAATAAATTAAATAACAATGCATTTTGTATGCGGCTAGCCACACCATCTAGCCAGACAAAGTAACCCCTATTGTAGACACCTAAAAACCCGATCCCCAAAACAAAACCCGATGATGAACAACCTTTCACCACCATTATTGGTTGGGTCGAGTATTTAATATCGGGAGTGCTTAAAATCCATGTTCAGTCAAACATATTAAGTCAACAAATAAGTCAAACCATTTATTCAAACTCAGTCCAACTCATATCCTAGCTCAAACCCTTTTGAATTCATTTCGTGTTATTTATTAATTAAGCCCGATTAATAAATAATAAAAACCCTAAGCCTGAAATTAATCCAAAATAGCTGAAACGGCGCATAAAATATCACGTACTTAATTATTAAGCAAGGAATAAATGAATCTGGATTGATTTCAGGAAAACATGTGCGTCGTGTCACGGCAGACACACCGCGTCACGGTATTCCGCGCCGTGTCGCGGTATTTTGCGTCGTGTCACGGTGTTCCGCGCCGTGTCGCGGCACACATGCTGTGACACATCATTTTTCTAGGGTTTCTCCGCGGCGCCTTTTCACTTCTAGGGTTCCGTGCTTCATCCCTCACATTTTCTCTATAATTACGAGCCTGATTTCTCCAATTTCGGGGCACCAACAATCATTCTCTTCTCTCTTTAGCCTAAACACTAGCCATCCTATTCTCTCATAATACTTCCCCTAAGCACTCCAAGGATACCATACTTGACCCGAAATTCTATACTTAAACCAAGGCGTGAAAGGTAGAATTAACTAAGGGTTTAGACCAAATCAACTCTACTTTTCATTTAATTTAATTCAATTTGATTTATTATTTATTGAAGTTACTAACAGTTTATTCATGATGTAGCAATTCAAGGAAACGCGGAACGTGAGTAGTTAATTCAATTAATTACTCTTTTTATTATTCCTGTTGCTAGTATCATGATTAGGTTTATCATTATTTAATTTGGCTAACGTTAGTATGGTTAAGTTGCTTCCAATGTTGATGTTGATTCTATTATATTCATTGATCACCGTATTGCATGTTTAAAGGGAATATATTAAATATCACACCTAATAAGATAATTTGGACGACCAGTTTAAGTTCCTTTTTAATCTTATTGTTTAATCGAAATGATCACGATATTTTAGAATTATATGTTGCATTAACATTAAACCAATTTAGCTTTATATTAGTTTGGAGCAAATTGAATCTTTGTTTGCCTGCCTTTGAGATCGCAGGAATTACTTTTCACAATAACAATCGAGTAGAGGCCAATACCGGCGAATGTGACTCCATGTCTCACTTCGTACCATCATCCCCGATCCTCCTTTCGTGGTTCCGAACATATGGAGTTAGTAATCTCATGGATTATGAATGGGGTGTAATTTTCACGGGTCAATCGTTGTTGCCTACCATTCTCCCTTTATCGTGGTTGCCTTTAAATAATCCGTGAACGGTTTACAAGTTCCTTAAAAACTTGTTGGCGGCTCCCTACTTTGCTTTGTCCCTAATCGTATGTCAATTCCCACTTCCTATGAGTGCCAAGCATATTCACAACATGCTTAATGTAGGCGTGCTTCGAATGACGCCTACATTTATAAAGCTGATCGAGTAGCTCTTGTAATACTAAATGAGTAACCTCTGACACTGACTAAGTAACCCGTATCTATAATACTTATTGAGTAACCACTATAACATTGACCAAGTAACCCCTATAACACTAACGAAGTAACTCTTGTAATAGTTGGTGACACGTTTTAGCCAACTACGTATATAAGTTTGTGATTAAATATATTATAAATGGATCTTATTTTAAAAACGAATTTGATTATTGAAATAGAATTGAATTATTAGACATTTATTAAAAGTTATGATTAATTTTGTATATATAAAATATTAGAATTCTATCGATAATAAAACTCTATAAAACAATTGTATCTTAAAAAATCTATCCAAAAATCGCTTACGTAGCATTTTATGTGTCACAATAATACATATTTATCTCCTACGTGGTGCGACTCTTGGCGAAAAATTGAAATGCCAAGTGTCGCTTTCTCGTGGCCTAGCTGCGAGAACGACTTTATTTATTAGTGATATGATATAAATATATATATATATATATATATATATATATATATATATAGTCTGTGTGTGTATGTATATATATATATATATATATTTATATATATGTGTGTATATATGTCTTTACATTCAATAAACAACTCGGGCATTGCACGGGGCACAAAACTAGTAACTAATATATAAACCTAAACTCTTAGCTAGGCCACGAGACAGCGACACTTGGCGTTTCAACTTTTCACCAAGTGTCGTGCCATGTATGCAACAATAATTAATAATTAGTATGACGATAAAAATATTGCATAGATTTAGATAGATTTTGTAAGATAAAAAAAAAGTTAGTTTAGAGTTTTACATTCAATAAAATTTGGATATTTAGGATAAAATTGTTGGTTTGGAGTTTTATTTTCAATAAAATTTCAATATTTCAAATATTATATGTTGTCGTATCTATAGAAAACACCATCGAATTATAAAGGATCATAGAGGCTACGAGGCCGTCCAACACTATTAAGTAAATTTTGATTCATAATTTTCATAACACTAAGCTTTTTAACTTCTTTCTCTGTTATTAAGCCGAATTTTACTTCCTTCACACACTATGTAATAACTTCAGAAGTCTTGATAGGTTAATTATTTATCATTAATTATATTAGATTACAAATATAGTTAATGGCACTAGTTAATCACTAATATCCTATATCTACTGTAACACTTTTCACATATTGAAAAAATGAAATCATACATTATATTAATCGGATAATTAGCAGTACAAATCTAGGCACCACTCTTTACATCTTATTTTTGCCTCATAAAATATCTTAAATTAAAAGAGATTATGTCTTGTTATAAAATATGATGTGTCAGTGATATGTGTTAAGTGTTGGTAATTGGGACAAACAGTTTATCTTAGATTTTTATAAACAACCTGGACACGGGGTACAAAACTAGTTGACAATTAAAGATATTAGGGGTCAGTTTCATCAAAGGGAATGAGAATCAACTACTCTCATTCTTTTTGTCATTGTTTGTTAATGCCTTTTTTCTCATTCCCTTTACCCTCTTCATTCTCCTTAATCCTTCTAAGTTGATTCCCCACCCCCTAGTTATTTTCATTTCCCATTCCTTAGCCACCACTACACCACCATACCACCACCCTCCTACCTACCCAAATCACCGGAAACCCGAACCACTGCACCACGGCCAACCACATTACTAGTCGCCGACTCTCCTCCACCCCCCATCGCACCTCTCCTCCCCTCGCTGGCCATCACACTCCCGAAACCCTATCCCCGTCTCTGTAAAAACCTAAAAAAAACATTCTCCCTCCCCGTAAAACCCGCCGGCCGACCCTCTCCCACCCTCGAAGCACTGGGGTTTCGAAGGTGATGGAGGGCCGGCTGACGGGTTTTACGGGGAGTGAGACTAGTTTCTAGGGTTTTTTGGGGCTGAGGGAGGTTTTTCGGGGGAGGAGAGAGCCGCGCGGGGGCCGACGAAGGGCGGGGGAGGGCCGACGTAGGGTGGCGAATGGTGGGGGAGGTGCGACGAGTGGTTTGGTGGATGGATGGTGGTTGGAAAAGGAGGAAAGTGAAGAATTTAGGTGGTTGTGTGGTGGTGGGATTATTTCCTTTCGTTTTTAAAACAAACAACATAAAATATGTAAGGTATTTTCATTCCATTATTTTCCTTTCCCTTTGTTCATTCCATTCCATTTACCCTCTTTGAACCAAACAATCCCTTAGTTATTAAAGGTTTTCATTGACATACATAGTATATATCTTGTCACTATAAAACACTAAAAAAAAAAAAGTATCTTTATTTCCAAGGAAAAATAAAATAAAAAAGATTCTACCAATAACCAAGGAAGTTGCTTAACGCTTCTTTCTTTATTTAGACATTGACTTCACCCCAACTTTTTACCTTTCTATAAATAACTCCATCATCCAACCATAGTAAAAACCCCACCACCACCGCACCAACCACCCCAACACCACCAAAAATGGCAACTTTTCGACCACATTTCATCCTTCTCCTCCTCCTCCTCTGTATCATCACTTTCACTCAATCAACTCCCCTGTTCCTGGGAAAATATGCTAAAAAACCCAACAAATTATCATCATACAAATATAAAACCCAGTATTTTACTCAACAACTTGATCATTTTAGTTTCCAAGATTCTGGGAATTTTTCACAGCGTTATCTAATTAATGCTGATAACTGGGTTGGAGCTCAGCGTAAAGGTCCCATCTTTATGTATTGTGGTAATGAAGGTGATATTGAATGGTTTGCTTCTAATTCCGGGTTTATTTGGGAAATTGCGCCTCGTTTTGGTGCCATGCTTCTATTCCCTGAAGTATTTTCTCTCTCCTTTGACTTATCTATTTATGATTTTGACTATTTTGGGTAGTGATGATTTTGTTGTTATTAATTCTTGGTTTTGAATTTGTTTTCTCTACCTGTGGGGTTAAATCTGGATTTTTGTTGGATAATGATATATTTAGCCCGCGTTTATGCATCTAGTTCATTTAATAAATTGATACTAGTATTAATTTGCCTGCATATATCATGTTCTTAATATTGAATTGCAATTATTGATGATGAAATCAACAAAATGAAGTAGCATTTATGGTCCATATTATATATCCTCTCACTTGTATAATGTTAAAGTATTACTAGTAATTGACAGTTTACAGTAGTGATGTAAATTTATTCCGTATTTGTGAGTTTGAATGACAATGCAATAGTGACTTTTTAATCTATTTGCATAGCATGACCTTAATAAATCTATTTTGGGAAATTAAATGATACGGAGTAATAAAAGACACATGCTCGTTTCTTTCAAATTTAGTTGTCACATTGTTAGTTAAACATAACACTTTCAACGTGATTATTGAATTTCGGATGAGGGAAACTCGTAGTGGTTATTGGAGATACATTGTGATAAATGTTTGCATGAGATATTGCATGTAGAATGACACAAACACTTGTGAGATCATACAGAAACAGAGTTAAATTAAGATTTTTTTTTATTTTTTATTTTTTTTTTTTTTTATTTTTTTTTTTGAGGAACTAGTTAAATTAAGATTAAATTTGGGCAGAACATGATTCTTTGAGTTGATATTTTACTGCTCTTCTTGTTCCATATTAAATTTGGATTCGTAATTACTGTACTTGTTGGTAGCTCATTCGCTTGTTCAACAAATTACATAAATTCCTGATCTCCTTCTGCATATATATATATATATATATATATATATATATATATATATATATATATATATATATATATATATATATATATATATATATATATATATATATATATATACTTCGTATATCTTGAATATTGTTGCCATTTATTATGCTAAAATGCTCAAAGAATTGGAGGTTCTGATCAGAGACTAGCTGTACTTGCTTAATTAGGAGTTCTGTAATTCTGTATGAAACAGTTGTCCTCAGGCTGAAGCATATATTTGTTTTCTTTATGATTTAAAGTTGCATAAAATTATAAAAAGTGTACAGATGCTCTTTTTTTGAAGATTGATGTGATCAGTGTTAACCAATGATTGAAACTTTAAATATGGCAGCATCGTTATTATGGAGAATCAATGCCTTATGGAAGCAAAGAGGAAGCATATAAAAATAGTACAACCTTATCATATCTCACAGCAGAACAAGCAATTGCTGATTATGCTGTGTTGCTCCGGGAATTAAAGCAAAATCTATCCGCTGAGGGTTGTCCTGTTGTATTGTTTGGTGGATCTTATGGAGGAAGTATGATGCTGGTCCCTTTCTCTGCTCTGAATTTGCATTAGTTTTCTGTGTTTTAGTTAGAATTTCAACAAATTACTTCCAGTGTTGGCCAAAACATAAAAGTTAGGCATTCATTATACTTACATTTATATATGAATGAATGGAACAGTGTTAGCTGCATGGATGAGGCTCAAGTATCCGCATCTCACAGTTGGTGCTCTTGCTTCTTCAGCACCAATACTTCAATTTGAAGATATTGTGCCACCGGAGACATTTTATAACATAGTCTCCAACGATTTTAGAGTCTGTAGCCTTTTCCTCTCTCGATAATTAGGTACTATATAGAATAATGAACCTAATGTTTGATGCAATTTACTCTCTCTACAGCGTGAAAGTATCAACTGTTTCAATACAATAAAGGAGTCATGGGGTGAGTTGCAATCTATGGGTGAGAATACAGATGGCCTAAACCAGCTTACCAAAACATTCCATCTTTGTGGGTAATACAAGTTTTTATGAATGTCCTTAATCCTTATCCACTTTTAGAGATAAATTTTAGTCCTTTGCTTATCCATGTTCTATTTATGTAATCTGAAATAGGGAATTAAAGAATACTCAAGATCTTTCTGACTGGTTATCATCAGCTTATAGTTATTTAGCCATGGTAGATTACCCTTATCCTTCAGACTTCTTGATGCCTTTGCCAGGACATCCAATAAGAGAGGTTAGTCGGCTGCATTTTCTCTTTCTTTATATCTCCATTATGTTGCCCATTTTCTTTCAAGTCTTCAGAAGTTTAACTTATAGCTCAGAATTTTCTTATTTTTTGAGATTATCCAACTGCATACTGACATAGGAATCTGTCTTTCAGTTCAAGGTCAGCTGTAATTTAATATTTCTGTAAATTTTCAACTTAATCAGTTCCATTTCTGAACTTCTAAAATTTTCCTACTCAATGTGACAAAAATAATGTGTTTCTGAGCACCAAGTCTCTGAAGTGTTACATGCTGATCAGTGGCTATTACGAAGTAGTAGTTTTTTTTACTTATGACAGACACTCATTGCTTCTCATGAAGATATGTTGTATTTGCACTTTAAGAAATTTGTTGACAAACTAGATAGTATTTCACTATTTTCCTTTGAGGCAGAAAATTTTAAGCACTATAAATGCTGGCTAAATAATGCAGGAACTTTGTGGTGTTACATCTGACTCATGATGATAGACCACTGATGTGCATAATGTATGCATGTATGCTATTAGCCGTTTAGGCTAAAAGCCTTTTACTCACCCGGATAAAAGAGCTTCCTTTAATTGTTTAGACTGAGGAAGATATAGGGTTCTGAGTCTTCTGACAGATCTTTTGGTCATATGGATGTGTGTGGGATGTTTGCTTTCTCTTCTACTTGGTTCTAATGAATTAAATCCTGAATTTGTGCTTAGTTTTACATGCAAGTGCACTTAGCAGTATTTCTACTCCATATTTGACTTCCATGAAATCCTTTTAGTAGTAACTAAGAACAAGAGCAACCACCACCTAGTATGCATCCTGCTGCTGGCATGTCCAAATGTATGAAGCCTCTTCACTAATTGTCAATATAGTCAGACATCTGTTTCTGAGAGAATATGTTCAAATTGTGAGCAGTAGATCTGGTAATCCCTTAGCAGTCTAAGTGTACGCCTGCTCCTCTCTTTCAAATTAGATGAAGGTTTGACATGATTCTATTGCTTTGTTTTTCTTGATAGGAATAATTACCCTTTTCAAAACATGGCTTTCATGCTTGTACTAGTTGCTGCTGTAATCAATAGTAATATTTTGCTTCTTAGGTTTGCAAAAGGATAGATAGTGCTGCTGATGGTACCAGTGTTCTAGATCGCATATTTTATGGAGTAAGTATTTATTATAACTTCACTGGGGCTGTCAACTGCTTCAAACTGGATGATGATCCTCATGGAATGAGTGGTTGGCAATGGCAGGTGCTGAATCCTCTTGTATTTCGTACATTATAAAATTTGCAAAAGAGGGAAAATTAGTTAATGTAGTAACAAAAATTAGATCCATAAATTACATTCAAACGATGTTCAATCAGGCATAATGTGCAACCAATACATATATAAATTATCAGTGTGCTTCCTGTTTGTAGGCTTGTACTGAGATGGTAATGCCAATGTCTAGCGATCCTGAAAAAAGCATGTTTCCTATATTTAACTTCAATAAAACTTATGAGGAAGAACGCTGCATAAGATCGTATGGAGTCAAGCCACGATTCAGATGGATTACTACAGAATTTGGTGGACATGTAAGATTCCTTTTGATCTCTTTATGACTGCAAAATATATAATTATCTTCAATGTATGTATCTTATGTCAAGTGTAGTTTGTCATGATTCCTTACATCTTTACGGAGGAACTGTTCATATCCCACTTCTTCAGAGATATTATACGCATATGTACACCTTTTCAAGTCCATTAAGTTATGTACTCCCTCCGTCCCAACTTACCTGCCAGTGTTTATTTGCGTAGGATTTTATGCTTGTTGAACAATAGAGGGAAAAAATGGGCGGGTGTGGCACTCAACTCAAAGAAAATAATAGATAGAAACAGTTTCTTAAAAAGGAAATAGGGTAAGTAAATTGGGATACCACAAAATGAAACATGGGGCAAGTAAAATGGAACAAAGGATCTTGTTTGCAAGACTAGATTCTGGAAAGGCTTCAGTCTTTCTGACTGGCCATGTTAACACACGTAATAGCTTTTTAAGCTTGTTTAACACAATTTGGTATAGAAAGGTTAAGCTCTGCTGCTACAAATGGCTTTCGCGGAAAACAAAATTTGCTTTTGTAACTTGGAATTGATGAAATTGAAATGAAAATCAATACTCAATTAATTCTGCTTAAATTGATGTGTATTGTTGCCTTAATATATAGTATTTCTTGTGCTGGTAAATTATTTGCTTTTATTATATGGCATGGTAGCTTCATGTGGTTGTATATGAATCTTAAGTGATGCCTGTTATTCACACTGTGAAGGATTTTAAGACTACCTGGAAAAACAGTGGGAGTAACATAATTTTTTCAAATGGACTATTGGATCCGTGGAGTGGTGGCAGGTAAGACCATTACTTAATAGTTATGTAAACATAATTTTCTCGACATTTTCCAGTCTGATGGTCATTATTCTAAACTCCCCTTCAGCGTTCTGCAAAATGTCTCAGAATCACTGGTTGCCCTTGTTACAGAAGAAGGTAGCATCTTTCCTTTGTCTTCTACTTGTAATTGAGAACTTTTTGTTACTTATAGCTGTGTATTGTCTAATGATTTTTCCGAGTTTCAGCAAATCAGTCTAAATGAACCTGATTGTTACTGATATCACCTATGTCTGCTGATGCTCAACACATAGATTTATAGTTATCTTGGTTCTGTTTTAGTAGTCTTAGTCTTATCATATTTCAATTGTATACCAGGTGCCCATCACCTAGATTTGCGAGCTTCAACTCCAAATGATCCCGATTGGTTGGTCCAACAAAGGGTATCTGAGATTCGATTGATTAAAGGTTGGATCGATGACTACAACCAAGGGAAGGGCTCTGCTTTCAGTATGTAAATATTGTAGGCTTCACATAATATCCTGAATTAGGACTCACGCCACTCTTACACGTACCAGTCCTTTCTCTTGGCTTCTGTCACACTAGTAAAACATTACAAAGTAATAGCGATGTATGCTTTGTAATAAGCACTGAATTATTTTAACTACAGATTTGCCTCTAGAAGCCAAATATACCACGTCTTAGACATTGTAATGATTATTGATCAATGTATAAACCTCACGGTTTTTTTAGTCCAATATTTGCAAGCCAGACACTTGGAAGAAGAGGGGAGGGTAAGACAATCACTACCCCAAAATACCCTTACTTGGTAGGTTTTTACCTCAGAATGGTTTGACCTTATCAAGAATGGTTTGTGATTAGTAATAATGTAATATATGTACAAGCATGTAGAAAAATTTACCTGTCGTTTTGACAGTTTTTAGTACCTGAATACGAGTTTATGCAAATGAGCAAAATTTCTATTGAAAGTCTGATGAGCCATGAGCCAGGTTTTTTTTTTTTTTTTTTTTCGGTTGATGTTGGACCTATAGTAAATTAATTTTTTTTTCATCTTGGATTTTTGCATATAGTGAGATTGTTTCCGTACTATGAAAGTCCACCAAATCCAAAGATTAGGCCTTGTTGGTCAAAATTAACGATAGAGTAGCTTGAGTAGTTGTTAAGAGTATTGAGTGACTGCCAATTAGTAGTGAGTAAAGTATAGCTGTTAAAGTAACCAATGATATTTAATTTTATGAATACTTGGCAAAATTAGCTATTGAAATATTAAAAACAATTGAAACCATGCATATTGTTTTTATTTGTACAAAACGCTAACCATTAACTTCAATCGTTATAAAGTATTTTAAACAATCAATACCCTAACCTTCTTTATTCTTTTCAAATCCAATATTGATAGCTGATTAAGCTATTTAAATTTGTGCCTTGAGCAATTTCTTGCTTGACTTTTCCTTAATTTTTGAATGATCTTATATCATCATCAAAGTGTATTCCTAGTTCTTTAATAAAAATACACTAGATGAAAGCCCGTGCGATGCACGATTTCTCATACATATATCTCAAGAAAAGATATTTTCCTATATACTCGATTTTATTTATTTTTTTTTTTATAATTATTTGATTTATTTTACAATTTAATAATTTCAGACAAAAAAAAAATTAATTAAAATGATATTGCCAATTATAAAAGTATAATTTTTTAATGTAATTTATAATGCGACTTAATTTATTGTTGTTTTGTATTTTATTCGTTGTTGTTAACTATATGACAATAATATGATGTCTTTAAAAAAAAAAAAGTTTGTAAACATGATATTTCAATGATTACATATTAGGATAAGATCTTTAATATGAAAAGATAGTAATTTTTTATTTTTAAAATAATTTAAATCCTAAATCATTATTCGTTGTCTTTTACGCTTGAAATTAAACTCTCAAATCTATATATCATTTTGTATACTTCTTGTGATCTCTTGATATCTAACAAATTATCTGTCTTTTCAATTTTTTAGACATAAAATGTTTAAGGAAGGTAAAGTTTTTTATTGCGTTTTAAGTTTTAATTTTTTTTTATGAAAAAAACATCTTATTAATCGGGTATTTAGATAAAACCATTAATTTCATAAGATAATTTTTTTTTAATAATTTAAATCCTAATATCCCACGGTTTTTTATACGTAAAATCTCATAAAAATAATTTTTGTAATTAGATCATACTCATAATATTTTTGATTACTTTGCTATTGTTTCTAAGGATAATTTTTTATTAATTTATGTAATTTATCCCCCTAATAAATATTTTAATAAGAACATTAAAAATAATAGTTATTAGATGTAATAATTCGAAGTAAAAAAAATTGTATTAAAAAAAAATAATTCGATAGGATCACCAATTTTGTTCACACCCATATCTCTTACATCTAATAAAAGTGGATAAATTGAACATGTGAGCAAATATAAAATTTATATAAAATTAATTTTTGTAGTCTTATAAAATAAATTAAAATATTCACCAGAAAGTGAATAATTGTTGTGAAATTAATCTAAAAATTGTAATTATACAAAATTAAATCTATGTATTGGAATTTTTTCATCATCCCCAATCGCCCAAACAATAGTATTTTGGAAAATTGAATCATTATTTTGTTGTCGCTGACAATGCGTGCGATATTACTTCTTATTTGTAACTACTGAAAAATATCTAATGGAGTAAACTTTTCCTTCAATCAATTTTGAACAAAATTGTAGAACAAAGTTGACTTTAATTGAGGCATGAACGTAATCACCCTGTAATTAAAATAAAATATTAAGTTAATTCTATGACTTATTTAAGCTACCTAAATCACAAAAAAATTGTTTTAATCATAAAATTAATTGATAAAAACTAAAAGGTTCATTAAAAGATTTAATAAATGTAAACGATTTATAAAGATATAATACCTCCTTATCCAATAGGATCATCAGCCGAGAAACTCGTACTTTGATTTTTCAAAGATTTTTGCTCGAATATAATTCTCTGATTAAATTAGATCTGCATGTAAAAACAAAATTCAGGAACAAAACATAAACATAAACATATAATCATTAAGTATCCCAAATAAACACAATTTAAGCAATAATCACAAAAATACATTTAAACATGGGTTTTAAAAATTAGGCTAATAATTATCCAGCCATTGATGACATAATAAAACTATCACAAAATTAATGACACATAATTTGCTTGGTTTGGTTTTGTATTGATACGAAATTTTGCTGGTGTCATATGATGCGTCAATTTATAATGGTAAATACCACAAATTTTAATTTAATTATAATTAAGGAAATATTTTTATTCTTATCCTAAACACTATCAAAATTTATCTATAATTGAATAAATGCCTACTTTATTTATATATAGTAGATTTTGGATCACACCTAAAAATTATTTCCTATATTATCCAATAATTGAATAAATATTAAATCTATAATTGTACATTGTACAGCATATGAGCTCTCAATAAACAAATCGATTTTATATGATAAAAAAGGGAGTAAATTAAAATTTAAATCACAATAATATATGGAGAGAGAAAAGGCAAATTCCAGATCACTCTCCATGAAAGTTTCCAAAACGAGCTTAATTAAATTCATAATACCTGGACATAAAATAATCCTCTCCAATAATTACTCCATATAATTCAAGTCAACACTTTTAATTACCCACTAAACCCTCCACTAATCCCATTTAAATCTTTTCAAAAACCAAAAAATCCCACCACTAAACATGTTACAAAAGGCGGGGTTAAATAAAAATAAAAAAACCCTCCCCTAATACGACACCGTTTTCCCCTCTTCACTCACTAAAAAAGTAAAAAGAAATACCCTAAAAACTAAACCCAAGAAAAAGCAAAACCATTTTCTCTCTCCTCCCTGTTCAAAATCATCATCATCTTCTTCGATAAAGTAAAGAAAAACACTAAGGAGAGGGAAAGTTCTAGAGAGAGAAACTGATAAAGTACTACTCGTATAATAGAAGGAATCTTTTCTAGGGTTTGGAATTTTTCAATGGCGAGTCCCCGGATTCCGGCGACTCCTTCGCCGGTGAATTTGAGGGCGATTACTATTACGCCGGGATCGAGGATTCTAGATGTTTCTTCTCCGACGACTAATGGCCGGATTTCGGCTTTTTCCGATGAAGGGATCTGGAAGCGTCTTAGTGATTCTGGCTTTGATGAAGATTCTATTCGTCGTCGTGATAAAGCTGCTCTTATCGCTTATATAGCCAAACTTGAAGCTGAGGTTTGCCGCTTTTTTTTTTATAATTAATTTTATGTTATTAATATTTTGTCGGTCCAATTTATTGATTTTTTTTGCTAAGTGGTAGTGACAGTATTTGAATGTGGTTTAATTCTGACGTTTTTTGGAATTTTTTTTGTAATTTTTGGATCTGGGTATTGTTACGTGTTATCAATTGTTTGGTAGGAAGTTCTGTTTTTTATAATTTAATCATTTGTTAATTGATTGATTAAATTTTTGTATGAGAATCTTGTTACTTGGGTTGCATGCCAACTTTATCAAATTGGTCATTTTTAATTTTTTGTGTTTCTTAGAACTTTAATGTGTTATCGAGTCTAATTTTTTCCCTCTAGATTATTTTTGGGTTGGTGAGTTTTTGCAAGGTTTATGTTCCATGTTCTGTAGTTTTAAAATTGTTGAGTGTATATGAAATAACAAGTTTCCGAGGTAGTACCCGAGCCGTGCCCATTTTTTCTTAAAATTACTTCCTCCGTCCCTAAATGATAGGTTGCATTTGATTGAAAGTCATTTTTATGAAATGTATAGAAATTCGATAATTATCCCCCCCCCCCTTTTTTTTTGTTTAAATGTCTTTACCTTGCCACAAGTTAAATTTAACAAGCTATCTAATATTAAAAAGTGGAAAATTTGTAACCATCTAAATAAAAAATGTGGTCTATTATTTGTTAGGGAGGAATTTTTTTAATTGAAAAGTTATAAAGAAAATTAGATATTACCATTTTCCAATGAAGTCAATTATTAAAAGATTTGACTAGTTACGCAGCGACATTTGTTAAATACTTATAGCGTGAAGATAAATATGGAGAATGTGTTTAGGTGGGAATTTTAGGACAGTAACTATGCTTTATTGGCTCATATTCTTTTTCTTGAGAATTTGAAGAGGGGGGACCTTTTAGCGAGATAGAGCAGGAGTGAGTAGTAATCCCATATATCATGAAGTGTAGGCAACATGATTGGCTGTCAACTAAAATATATGATGTTATGAGTTTGCATTGAAGACCCTATAATTTCAATGTGCTAATTATTACCATCTTATCAATTGAGGGAAATCATAATTTACACTGTGATTCCAAGTTAAAGGCTTAATCGTGATATAGAGGTAATAGATAGACGAAGGAATTTATCCTGTTCATTGAAGACTTGAGAAATATCCGTTATAAAGGATTATAGAGAAATTAATCTAATCATTGCTTCAAATAAGTGAAGTTAATAAACCGGTGAAGCTGATGAGCTGATCAGAGTAATATAGGGCATGGCTGGAAGATGCCAGCAATTTAAGGAACAGGAAACATATGTGGCTGGTGGCATTCTGTTAAATGCCTATTTTGTGTTATATGTTTAGAAGGCCTGATATGAGCAACTCCATTTAGGTTTATGAGCTTCAACACAACATGGGCCTTCTTATTTTGGAAAAGAAGGATTATGCTTCTAAGCATGACGAAGTTAGATTATCTGCGGATTCAGCTGAAGTAAATCATATGCGCAATCAAGCTGCATTATCATCGGCTTTAGCTGAAGCAAAGAAGCGAGAAGATAACCTCAAGAAGGCCTTGGGAGTGGAAAAGGAATGCGTTGCAAATGTAAGTTTGTCACTTCTATTGTTTTCCTGTTCTTTTTTTTTTGGCAGCTGGGAAACAAGAGTTTTCCTGTTATTCTGTAAATACTTGTTCATATGCTAAAGATACTCTATCATCCTCCTTGCAGATTGAAAAAGCCTTGCATGAAATGCGCACTGAATGTGCTGAAGTGAAGGTTGCAGCAGAGTGTAAAACTGCTGAAGCTCACAGTATGTATGAAGATGCTCAGAGAAAGTATGCTGAGGCTGAGGCAAAGCTGCACTCTGCCGAATCTTTGCGAGATGAAGCAAGGCGTAGTGAACGAGCTGCAGGAAGAAAACTTCAGGAGGTTGAATCTCGTGAAGATGATCTTCGCCGTAGAATGGCAGCTTTTAAATCCGAGTAAGGCTTTTTTAAAAAAATAAAATTTATTAACATTTGGCTTATCAGTATTCCTCCACAAATTTACCCTGTCTTTCCTAAAATCATTTCGGTTTCGCAATATGAATTCCTGTGGGCTAGTAATTGGAAAAGAAAGTCATTCAACTTGAAGAAATGTTTGAGAATATACCTAGTTCTGTATATGAGGATCTGTCCCAAGACAGTGCTTTTTCTGAATGAAAACATTCTGCCATCACCATACCTTCTATCACGATCATCATTAGAAAATGCTTTACTTAAAGTCTGGTATCCTAATTTCCTAATTATTTTTCAATCGCTCAATACAAGTGGGGGTTACCTTTAGGAAAATCCAGAGATATTATCTACTTTTTTCATTTTTGCTTAATTGCCTTGGTTTCAAATTTAGTATGAAATCAGGTTGGCTGCATTTATGGTTCGTTAATATTCTGTACATTATTGCACGATTTAACTGTAGTAGTTGAACTGTTATTAGTTACTACTTGCAACAGATGTTAATATAGAGAGAGTACTAAAATAGTAACATTATATGTGAAACTTTTAAGAAAAAGTAAATTGTCGGTTCTTGTTTTATGCTAAGTAGACCTTTTTTGTGCTGGTATATATATTTAGCTTTTTTTTTTTTTTTTTTAAAAAAACAAGCCGCAGATTTCATTAAAGAAGATCAATTTCCTCCAAAGTTGTCAAGCTTTGTGGGAAAGGAGCAATAGATACAAACTCATTATAACCTCTAGCATCCCATCTTGCTACATTATGCGCTAGAGTATTACCCGCACGCTTAATATGAGATAAAGAAAAGGAACTAAAACAGGAAGCCAAACTACTAATATCATCATAAAGCAAGAAAATAGGAGAGAATCTCGCAGCCTGTGACCTGATATGTTTTGTTGGTTTAGCTCCTCTTTTTAAAGGATGTTCATGATCTTGTTTGCTATACCTTTTTATTATTTTTATTTTTTATGTTAGTGATCTTGTCTGATATGCCCTTTTTTTTTTGAGATGGTGGCTGGTGTAGGTTTGGGATACGCTTTTTCCCATGCTTCGCCAGCCTTGGCTCTCAGCTTTGTTTAGAAAAAAAAAGAAGTGTATTATGCTTAAAGTTTACCTGCCATGTACTTTGTATGTACGAGTTAGCTCTTATTCCTATTTATAGGGAGTTACTCATCTTTTGAGCTGTCTTTTGTGGAGAAGCAACTGAAAGTTCTGTCATATTTCTATGCTAGTTGTGATGCCAAGGAGAAAGAAATTGTGCATGAAAGGCAATCACTGGTGGAGAGGCAGAAAGTTTTGAGTGAATCACAGAATAAGCTGCTTGATGGTCAAGCTTTGCTAAATCAGAGGGAAGCTGATATCCTTGGTAGGTCTCAAGCGCTGAGAAGGATTGAGAAAGAGCTGGAGGATCAGAAAGAGAATATTGCTGCCGAATGGAAGAAATTAATGGAGCAGAAGTCTAATTTGGAGCTAAATGCAGTTTCCCTTTCTGAACGAGAGAAGGTCAGTGCATCTTTTTGACTGTTTGCCTTGTTGTATATGTTTAATTATACTTGAATAATTGATTTAGTGGGCTATATGTTATTCATAGTTTTCTGTGCTTGCAGGCTGTCATTGAAAAGGAGGTGTTTTTAAACAAGAAAGAGCAAGATATGCTTATTTCACAAGAAAACCTTGCAAGCAAGGAACAGGTATTTTGCTGTCTTCCTATTGGTATTGCTGTTATTGAGATTAGTATGTGAAATTCAACAGTGAGATGCATTTAAACTGATGAGGATGATATTTGTATTTTGCAGATTGAAGTCCAAAAACTCATTGCTAAACAGGAGAATGATTTGAGACGAAGAAAGGAGGAATTTGAAGCAGAGTTTGTGGTGAAACAGAAACTGGCTGAAGAAGATATTGAGACAAAAAGGAGGGCCTGGGAGTTGCGCGAGTTGGATCTTAAGCAGCGGGAGGATATTGTTTTAGAGAAGGAGCAAGATTTGGAGGTGCAAGCTAGGGTGATAGCTGATAAGGGTAAAGATTTAACGGAGAAGATAAGAGCTCTGGAAGAGAAGGAGAACATTCTTCACAAGTCTGAGAATGAGGTTGAGGTAATGAAAAATACTTTACTAAAAGAGAGGGAAGAGATTGATAATGCAAAGATTGACCTAGAGAAGTCTTTGCTTGATTTAGAAGAGAAGAAAAATCATATAGCTGAGGCGGAAAAAAGGTTGGATCTCATGAAGAGCGAATCAAGTGAGCTTCTCATTTTAGAAACAAAACTGAAAGAGGAGATAGATTCAATCAGAGCTCAGAATTTGCAACTTGAGGCTGAAGCTGAGAGATTAAAAGTCGAGAAGGCAAAATTCGAGACGGAGTGGGAGGTTATTGATGAAAAGAGGGAGGAGCTGCGAAAGGAAGAAGAACGCATAGCTGGGGAGAGACTGGTGATCTCCAAGTTTCTCAAAGATGAACGCGATAGCCTAAATTTGGAGAAAGAGGCTTTGCGTGAGCAATACAAACGGGATTTAGAATCACTTTCTCTTGATCGAGAAGCATTCCGGAGCGAGAGTCAACAAGAACGTTCTGAGTGGTTCACCAAATTTCAGCAAGAACGTGCAGATTTCTTGCTGGAGGTTGAATGTCGGAAGAGAGAGTTGGAGGATTGTATCAATAAAAGGCGTGGAGATATTGAAAGCTACTTAAAAGAGAAGGAGAAGGCCTTTGAAGAAGAAAAAAAGAGAGAACTTCAATATATTAGTTCTCTGAAGGAAGATCTGATTATGGAACAAGAACGTGTTGCTTTGGCATTGAAGAAGCTTGAAGCTGAAAAGTTAGATATCAGATTGGACCGTGAGCAGAGAGACAAGGCATGGGTAGAGCTACAGAGTCTGATTGAAGAGCTTCAGATGCAACGACTTAAACTAAAGGAGCAGAGGGAATTACTGCATGCTGATAGGGAAGAGATATATTCTCAGATGGAACAACTTAAGAAGCTAGAGGATGTGAAAGTCGATGGTGATAGATTTGTAGTGTCTCCCAGAAAGCAAATCTGTGCAGAGTCAACCCCTGAAGTACGCTCATGCATTCCTTCTATGGAGCCAACTCAGAAAGTCACAGCTGTGGAAGATGGGCAAGATACTGGGAGTGATTCACCACCTAGCTCTACCGTTTCCTGGTTGAAAAAATGTGCTACGTTGATATTCAAACCTTTACCTGAGAAAGTTCCATTGAAGCACATGGAATCATCTTTGAACATGGAGTGTGAGGAAAGAAACTCAGGATTTTCGGAAAAAGAATTAATGAGTACTCATGACAAATCAAAACTGGGAGTGCCTAGAGAAAGTGCAGACCAGACTCCTGGAACTGCTTCAGAAGAGCCGAAAGTGATTCATGAAGTTCCTTCTGTGGATGAAGGTTTAACAGATCTGGAAGCAACAAAAGATGTGCATGAAAGCTCTGCCCCTCCTGCAGCAAGTGCTGGGCGAAAAAGAAGAGTTGATGACTCTGTTCCTGGAAATGATGCTGTGCTTTTGAATGATGAGAAAGCTAACAAGAGGAGGCGGCAGCATCTTTCTGATGCTCCTGACAGTAATCCTCATTGGTAAATGCTCTTTTTGCCATTTTAGTTACTTTCCCTTTAGGGAACAGAAATTTTCTTGTAAAAGCTACTTTATTATAGGGAATTTTTTTTTTATTTTTTTTATTTTTTTAATGATTGTCATATGCTGATTATGTTATGATAATTTTGCCTTCTATGTACTGTGTTGATGATCAATTCATTATCAGTTCGTCGACACAATGTACAAGTAAAGAGAATGAAGTTGATGAAGGTGAAAACGATTCTGAAGTCTCCCCAGAAATGACTGAATCTGGCAAATCTTATCATCAGGCCAAGCAAATTGACTGTGATAAATCTGTACTGGTAGAAAATGAAGCATTCAGGTGTGTCATTCAGAAGCAAACTGTGATACAGGAAGTGCTCATAATGGAGGATGTTGGAGAGGCAAAGAAAGTTCATGAGGTAACTTAAATTTGATTTGTGATCATCATTCATCACTTGAGCAGATAATTGCATTTTTGTGACTGCGTTTTTGGCATCTATCTGTAGTAGGTTAGAGACATTTATCTTTATAAAAAAAAGCAATGCAATGCCTTCCTTATTCTGTTTCTTGGTGTATTTTTTAAGTGTGGACATTTTCACCTTGCTTATTGCTACATTTCTTTGTTGGCTATTGAAAAGTAAAACAGAGGAGGAAAAAAGTTATTAATTGCTTGAGGTTTGGCGCTCTTTGTTGTGCAGGAGGAAGATGCTACTGAGATAACAGAGCTTGAGGAGGAGGATCCTTCAAACGCCAAATTAAATAGCTCAGAAATTGTTCCGGAGAGAAGAACACGGTCAAAGTCCAAGCAGAAATCATAAACAGTTGGTTCTATCAACTGCTCTTGTGGTTATGCTCAAGTCTTCTGTGTTCTGGATGTTGGCATTTACATGCACAGTACGTGTTTTTTCTTTTCTGGTTCAAATAACTTTTCCCTTTGTGTATACGTAGTATAAGGTATGATTTTACTCTCTATGTTATATATCTATCAATTTACAATTTTCCTTGGCAGGTTTTAATTTGGAGCATGCTCAATCTAAGGGGTTGGGTGAGCTCTTTTGACCTAGTTCTCCAGTAATCTCACTTGTGAGTTGTGACATATACATGTAAATGACTTAGATAATAGTGTGATTCAGGGTGTATTTAGTAGATTCTTGATATGATGTCTCATAAAGAGTGTTGGGACTCGTGTTACCATATGATTGGCAGTGTTGTTCTACCAATTGATTAGCAGCGTTTTTGCTGGTGTAGTGGTGTGTAACAGGGAGCACTTTTTTGCTGCCCTGCGGCTATGTTAGCTTCAGAGTATATTAATGGTTTTGGATTGGTTCATAACTAACGGATCATCTTGAATGTATACTGAATGGTAATTTCAATCAAATTCTTGAGATTTTATGGCATCTTTAATTCTTTGATGTCATTGGTTCATGTTTGTGTAAATATCATAAATTTTCACCCTAGCATAGATTTCCTCACTGTATTTTGTAATCTGTTTTATGCTTTCTCTAAACTTTTGGAGGATTGACAGTTGCTGACTTGCTGTATTACTTCAACCGTATACTGTCTGAGAAACTCAAAAGTAAGTAAAACCAGAGCTGCTATTTGTAACACTTGCCTAGTACGAGTACTGAGTTATACTGCGTGCAGAATCAAAACAAATGTCAGTACCAAATACAAAGTATAGGAATACAGAAAGGAATAGGAGAGGGGTGAAATACGACCTCTGTTTCATATTTTGTGCAACAAACTCACGTGCATAATTCCTGAGATAAAATTTGTTAATGTTTGTTCAAGAAAATAAAGACAAGTAATTATGGCCGGGAGAGAGTTATACTACTCATAAAATTCCTGGTTTCATTTTTTCTCTATACTCGCTTGCTCCCTATCTCTTCTTAGTAATCGTATTTGCAATCTTTTTTGTTTTTTTTTTTAAGAAAAAAGGAAAGAATTAGGACCCTCTTCTCACAAGATCGTATTCGCAATCTTATCTGAACAAGTTTATCATGCTTCTAAAAAATGTGAATTCATATGAGGCAGTAAGGATGAAATTTTTTATATACACAACCCTTGGGTGCACGGTGCGTCAGGTGTATATAAAAGGTTTGCGCGGTGCGTCGAGTGTATATAAAAGGAGGAAAAACAAGTTTATCTCCGTGATAAACAAATTTTGTTTATCACGAGGACAAAAGTGTAATTTTTTGCGATGAAAATGGGTAAAACCGCTACTTGATAAACGAAATTTGTTTATCACGGAGATTAACTTGGTAGCCTCCATATAAAAGGTTTCCAAGATGGGGCCCTAGTTTATCAACTTGATAAACAAAATTCGTTCATCAAGTAGCAAAATCATAAATAAATTAACAAAAAATGTCCAATCAGCATGACATTTTTGTAATTATGTAAGGGTTCATATTTGACAAAAAGTTGTTGATTTATTTAATGGTTTGTCATTGGATAAACATAATTTGTTTATTAAGGCAATAAACTTGTATTTTCTCGAGCAATAAGAAAGAGATAGAAAGAGTATTTAATAGTGAAATCAAATTTGATATGTTTTAATCTTAAAGTCAAACATAATATCATTATTATTAAGGATAGAGATAGTTATGATTGCACCATTATGTCAAACATGACTAGGCATTATCTAAAATTAAACAATCCACCTAATCCGATAACAATGCGTGATTTTTTAATCACTTCAGTAATCAAACACATTTAGGATTTTCCTTGACTATACGATATCCTCAACTAAATAATACTTAAATAGTATGCTACGAGTTGACTAAACAATACTTACAGAGTATAATACGAGTATATACCAAAAGTTGCTATACTTATGCAAGTACCTACGTATGTGCTGATCTATGAATCACAAGACCATATACTTGTAGTTAAATAATGTCTGAATGACCTCAATGTACATACGTAATCTTGGGGGTTAAGCTTAAGCCTAAAGGGTTAGGTACTTAGTGATTCCTATTCCATGCCATCAAAACCAAGGGTTTATGCAAATTAGGCCAAACATAGTCACCGTACTTATAAAAGGGGGCACCAACACCGGAGTCGGAAACCCAGAAAACTTGAAGAGAGAGAAAAATGGAGAGCATTTTCGCCACCACGTTCACTCAAACCACCTTTCTCTCTCCTCTTTGGCCGCCTTCAAACGAAGTTTCTATCATCGCTAATTTCTCTCATTTCTCCTTCTCCGGTAGAAAGTTCGCCGCTCCTTTCTCTCTCAAGGTTTCTCCTCTTTCTCTCTCTTCAATTTCAGGTTTTCCAATTGAATTTTTTTGATGTTTCGATTAGTTTTGTGTTAATTTGATGAAATAGTACCGTGCTCTGATTTTCATTTTGTAGGTGTTTTTTTTTTGTGTAATTTGTTTGAAATTTGATGTTATTTTTATTAGTAAAAGGATGTAATTCGATTTTTTTTCATCAATTTTTTGGTGTTGAATTTGTTCAACAGGTTCAGAAGCAATTAGCTATTGGTCATAGCAATGGTCAAGCGATTAATTCCGCGAAATGCAGTGCTACATTGTCAGATACTCTAAGGTATACTTTCGCTTTTTTATATTTGTAGTTTCGCTTTGAGAAAACAGATAATTTGTACTTAATTAGGAAAATGAGGTTGTTTAGAAGAATTTATAATTTGGAGTTGGAAAGTTACTTTTCTGGTGGAACTTTAGTGATTATTTTATACTCTGTGGAATCGTAGTTACGATACTTTGTTTTTCGTCGAATTTTGTTAATGACATAATAGTGAAAGGAGATTTAGAGGCTATCTACATCTGTAGACTTCAACTGATACTCTTAGTGCGCCTCGTGCCTTTTCAAACAATGCACAAAGTTTGGAGAATTCTTAGCCTATGTAATATATAAAGAGGAGGTGTTTTTGGTTGGGAATTTTTGAGTGGACCATTTTACCCTCTCTACAAATATTTATTATAATTAATAAAAATTAAAATGTATTTAAAATTTAACCTTAAAATATAACTTCCATTTCTAACTACTCCATAAATTTAAAAAGATAACTTCTCTTATGATGGTTATTTTTTCTCATATCAAATAATTCTTTCAAGTGTAGTTATGTTAGACGGTATATTAGTTTAATTCAAGAATATTTATTTGATGATATAAATTTGACACTTGGTGTTATTAAAGTCGGTGTTTGTAAGTTTGCATAGGTTTTTTCAACTTTTATATAAGTATAAAAGCAACATACTATAATTTAATTAGTAGTACGAATATTTACATTGTACACATATTTTACAAGTATGTATAATTTAAATGATACAAGTTTAGAGGCACACGCAATGCGTGCACGACTATTCCTTTTCAAACAATGCACAAAGTTTGGAGAATGCTTAATTGTACTAATGTATGGTGCCTTATATTGTCTGAGAGGCCTTCTTTTATAATTTACAAGCAGAGATTATATTGTACCTTGTACTTATTCCAAATCAACTGGGTGTTTTATTAAAAGAATTGACTATGTGAGTGTAGACTGTGCGGTATTGTGTCTTTGTGTTGGTCTGCTGGATGTTATGCTATTTGTATCGACAATAGTTTTTCCTTTTGGGCTAAATGACAGAGAGAGTGAGATGTGAACACTTTTTTTTTTTAATTTTATTTTTTTTAAAAATGGAGCTTCACTGAACAATATACAAGTATACTTAACCTGAAAGCTAGAACTTCTATTAGCCACTTTTTACTCTTCTCTGATAATTACTTGATGAATTTATAGTTTAGACATTAACATTGATGATAATTGGCACGCAGTAGTTTCTTTATACTAATCTTCATCACCTATGCAGCCAAACATCCACATTAGCCGATATTGATTGGGACAACCTTGGATTTGGATTTTTGCCTACTGATTACATGTATGTTATGAAATGTGCTCGAGGTGAAAGCTTCTCAAAAGGTGAATTAAAGCGATATGGAAACATAGAAATGAGCCCTGCTGCTGGGATCTTAAATTATGGGCAGGTGGGTATTATTAACCCATTGCAAACAGTACTATGTGGCTATACAAGAATATGGTTGTGTGTGCTATATTATCTGTTGATCTTCCTTTTTTCTTTCTCCATTACACCAAGAATTATGTTAGTTCTTCTTCCACTTCCTGTCCCCGAACATTTGGAAATGGATTCTTATTGATTGAAGCCATTTGAATTTATTGGTTGTGAAAATTTGAGTGAATACTGGGGACTTTCCTTCCATATTCCATTTTGACTATGCTGGTTTTAATTTTTGCTATGAGGTTATCATTGATCATACCTGGCTGGAGATACAATTTGTGAGGAAGAAACTAGTACTCTTTGTGTGTGATCAGCTGAAGGACCAGTGGTGGTACTTGTTGGTAACTCGTGAAGTATATGTTCAAGGCTATAACCTTGGGGGTTCTGAATATTTGTCTTCTTGTATTGGTATAGGCTTTGTTAGTAATTTTAGAATATCTATTTTCGTTGAGTGCCATACCGATTTATGAAATCAATTCATACCTAATGGTGCTTGAATACTTTGATATGTTGTCCTTTTTATGAACCTAAAGATTCTTTTAATTAGTAATAATTCTAATTAGCTCTGTTGGTCTTGCCCTAGTAAATTATAAGTAAGTGAAGACTGGTGTTTAACTAGCCAGTTTGGGTTGTAGTACCTCCCATTGGCTTATATTGTTGTTTAAGAATTTTAATTTGTCGTTGGGGGGTTCCTAGGAGTCTAGGACCATGGTTGTGTAGTGGGATATGAAGGCCGTTATCTTGGTGAAAGCTCATTGTTTATTATTCCGGGTTCCTCTTTATTGTGTTGAGGATGGGTGGTTGGTGAGGTTCCTTTTTTAAGTTTCATTGTTAATTATAATAAAACTGCTGAGAATGGGTTTTGTGTTACCCACATAGGATTATTGCTGTAGGTTTTGATGTGTTTTGTTTGGAATTAGAGAAGGATGTTTGGTGGTTGTAGGATATTTTTTTTCCTTTTTGTTTAAAAGCTTTGATTCATTCATCCATGATTGTGAACATCTGGTATACATGTTTATGTTGCTAGCATGCTTGGTGTTAACTAATTAAACTTTTTTTTTGTTTTTCCAAGTATATGTCGACTTATCATCTTAGGGTCCGCTTGATATCATTTTCAGATTTAGTTTTTTGTTATTTAATAACCGAAAAAAGAATTTAGTTTTAAATTTTCAAAATTTTCACAACAAAAATAGAACCACTATACCTTCAACTATGGAGAATATATCATTTGTGCTTTGTATACTTCAATTGTACCCAAAAAAATGACATTGACAATTATAGATATTTAAAAATAATTGTTGTAGGAGCACCCTACCGTGAGATAAAAATTATTGTTGGCACTATTTATCTACCTTTGTTTGGCATTGACAACTCTAATTGTATATTCCAATCTACTGCAAATACCCT